GTATCGGCAAATCGTTGTGTGCCGAAACTTGTTAGGAACTAGTTGAGCTATGAGGTAAGCGTAAAATTGTAGGATGGAGACTGTGTGGAAAAGTACTGAAGTTGCCACTCCTCCAAACTTATTTTTGTCTTAGTTTACCAACTCAAGAGGCGCAGCTTAACTTGGATGCCTCTTGTACCTCTGAAGATTGTTAAATTACTCGACTCTGCTTGTGACATCCAATTTTCGCCTTCTTTGTAAATCTTTTTTTAGGACGAGGCTTATCCAGTACCTATAAATTTTTTTTGTTCATGCTTTTTGCAACCAAGCTAGTGTTTAGCTTTTTTAGCTTTGGTATGCTCATGTAAAGGAGCTGGGTGGTGTCAATCCTTTTCACATAATATTAAATGGAGACTGTGTATTTGTTTGACTAGTGCAAAACGAGTTTATCTTTGCCTCAGTCAGTGCTATGCAGATCGAGCCAGCCACTATCGGGTCTTGCCAGCAAAAGCACGGGCGACCAATTGCTACTACGGGACATCCGTCTGGCTGCCGCCTGCGCCACCACCGCCAGCGGCGTGGGCTCCATGGAGACACCTCCTTTACTCTACGTGGTTGACACACGCCCTCTCCTGAACGCCCTAACCAATCGCGCTCAGGGCAAAGGCTACGAGGTTGCAAGTATCTATCGCGATATCATCTTTCGCTTCGTCGAAATCCCAAACATTCATGCTGTTCGCGGATCGATGGAGAAGATGCTGAAGGGTTGGTGCTTGGCTGTTTTGTTTGTATTGATGATTCAGATCTGAGCGAATGTCAGTGTTCTTGAGTTAAATATTATGGGTTTTTTCTGCTCTAAAGACAGAGATTGAAAGGTCGACTTAACAGTCCCGCTATAATCCAAAATATCAACGTCCACAAAGTGTTTAAAGGTTATTTTTTTAACTGTTTGCCTGATTGCTCCTTTTGTAGTGGCCATAAAATACAGGACATGTGCTGAAATCCCAAAAATTAGTTGAAGTAGACTTGCGGATTATCTATCAAGATGTAAGCTTTGGTTGTTACCTTTATTTGCTCGCATTTCAAGGCAAGTATACCCAAGGGGAGACTCCTGTCAGTATGTTTCGTGGTCAGCGCCTACTAAATGTGAGGCAATTTCGTGCTTTGAGTGATGTGTAATAGTTTTTTTCATCGCTCTGGGGCCGGTTTTGTGGACTGAAGTTAATTCAATGGATTGCTGTGACATCCCTCAATAAGGCATATTTCGGAATTGTTTAACTTTTTAGAAAATCGCATAGAAGCTTCCAAGCGCAATTTCTCAGAGCACACTGGTTTCATATTATTTAATGTTTACTTGAAATATTTTTCGCAAGTTTTCGATATTTTTTGAAAACTGATAATTTGTATCACAGGCTACTGCCTCTTGAGGATGACTTAAATGCTTCCCACCTTTATGTGCGATGAATTGGTGCATATTTTAGTCGATTTTAGCGTACAGCCAGGCTCATTTTTTGTATAGGCTGTGAAAGTACTGTCTAATATATTTGATGCGTTTATTATGATAGCAATTTTAAATTTGAAACAAGTTTCATGAGACGACTTCCAGCCTAAAAAAACTCTCCCTTGTCAATTGTTGTACTTTTTAAAGCGCAAATTTCCAATCTCCGTTCCTTTTTTTACTGATACCAAAGATGTCTATTATTTTTGCATTAACTTATGCGAAAATGTGCATACTTGTCTCATTGGACGTTTTGTAATCCTTATTTTGGCAGTGATTGCGTTCAGTTCACTTAATTTTATTATTTGAGGCCGGGGTCTCAACTATGACGTTTTCTTTATTTTTGTAATAATAGTTAGTTCCATCAACCTTGTCGCAAACAGGTGAATTTATGATTTTATTATCCCGAGGATAAGTGCATTTACTTATTAAGCGGTGTTTGAATAGGCGATTTCTGCTTTATGTTATTTTTCTCCGCCGAGGTCCTTCCTCTGGATTTGTTGTCGATTGGTTGGGTAGATCATGGAGTGCGTTTAATGCTATCATGCTTAGTAGCGCTACCGCGACCAATCTCAACACTCGTTTTTTGCTTTGCATGCCGTCTTATGTCAATTTTAGATACATTTATGTATCCTTTGTCAGCCCACTTTATCATAATGTTGAAAATAGCACTTGTTTATTCGTTTTTAATCTGTTACTGTTATCATCAATTCGATATCCTTTCCATTTACACCATCCACCGTGGTCAAAATGTTCTCCTTAATGTGCTGATTTTCCTCGGTCCTAATTTGTTGCTCCAAACTATCTTTGAAGATCTGACAGGGCACACCATTGTGAAGGAAGATTTACTATTATCGTACAAGAGGGACTGGGATGCAATGACCATAGGTAGAACACCGCATTGCTGAGACGTCAACTGAGGCCGCAGAGACTATGTGGCCCATATTAGTTGAAATACCGCCAAAATAATCGCCGCTATACTGCATAGTTTAACGAAATCGGTGCTTCAAAATATACCTACGAGCCAGGAATGAAGGTCATACTCTGATTTTCCATCAAGGGAAGGTTTCACTAACCCCAATGTCGTTGTTGCACTTCATTGATCTCAATGGATTTTGAGCTATGCCTTCCTTTCTATTGCATTTCGCAGATTCACAAGTTTTGTACTGGGCGAGAAGAGCTGATGCTCTGCAAAGGATTTATTTCATTTACTGATCGCCATTTCTTGAAACATTTGTTTCAAGACAGAGAAGGTCAATTAAATGCGTAAAAACGTCCCACTTTGCTTTCATTTCACCATTTCTCAGCTGCCTAAGTGAGGTTTTTCCCACTCGAAGCTCGATACGAATGCGTTTAGCTCCCAGTTGTGCATCTTCTTTAAAATTTTGTGCTATGCTTATATGGGCCGTTCTCAAATCATTCCAGTCTAAAGTCACATCAGCCATTCATTATCTTTGAAGTGGTTATCAATACCGACATAACTTTGATGGCCATTTCGTTAAGCATCTCATTTTCAACCTTCTATATCAAATGTCCTCTACTGTGGCGTTTAGGTTCAATAAACAATTATCAAATTTGGAGTTTTTGACCGCTTGGGCCAAGTTAGCCTACCGCTGCCACCCTAGTAGCGCTTCAAACTATCCCTTTAGCATACAGGGGGGTTGAGTGGCTATAAACATGTGTAGAACGCCATGGCATCAAGGTTTCAATTGAAATCGAGGGGTCGTCAGGATTTGTGTAATATCATTTTTACAATACGGTCGATCCAAGATCTGATTTTCATCTCTCACCTGCTACAGCCTACCAGAATCCCAGAGTGACACTAAAAGACCTCAACGCCACTGTGGACAAGTCCTCCTGGCTTCGCAACCTGCGTCGCATCGTCGACGCCGCATTTTTCGTTGCCTCCCGAATGCAACCGGAAGCCGGTGGTTACTCATTTCTTGTACACTGCTCCGACGGGTGGGACCGAACCTCGCAGGTCTGTGCGCTCGCCCAGCTCCTCATCGATCCCTTCTACCGCACTTTGGAGGGTTTCCAGGTATGTCACCTATCATCACTACTTCTCTTCTCCCCAATGCACTTTTTTGAAGTTTTTCTGTCACCACTAAGGCCCTGGTGGAAAAGGATTGGTTGTGTTTCGGCCACAAGTTCGGCGATCGCTGCGGCCAGACACAAGAGGTGGATGCGCGCGAAGTTTCACCAATATTCACACAATTCCTTGACTGCACTCGCCATCTGGTTGACCTCCTTCCGACAGCTTTTGAGTTCAATACCCGGTTTCTAATGGCCCTACATGACCACTCGAGATCCGGACGGTTTGGGACTTTTGTGGGATGTTCAGAGAAACAACGGCGTGAGCTTGGGTTAGTAATCTTTTTCTCTGCATTTCTTCCTTCTGAAGATGATCACAAGCGTAGAAGTCTCTGGAAAGCTTGCTTAATGCTGCTGTAACGGTTCACTAAATCACATATCATACAGCGGCTGAGACCGAAGAACTGAGCATCGCATCATCTGGAGGACGTGCGCAGGTTAGGGTTTGACACCATTGTTAAGAAGAGGTATCGTTCAGCACCTACTACGCCTTGTTAATGCATGTGCTGACTACGACTGGCCTGTGGCACCTTGATGAACGATAGATCTACTGAATTGGATCGGACTTAAGTGGAATGGGATGAAATGGTCCATGCCCCACACGTGAGAGGTATTGCGAGTAGTAAAAGTGCGCACTTGTCGCCTACTTTGTGTTTAAGTTGAATTTATCTCATGAACAGAATTATCCTCCCTTTTACTTTTTTCAAAGGAGATTGTCAGACTTCGCGCTTTGCTTCTCGTTACCTTACTTCGCCTTAAGCTATGCACAACTGGTATTTTTCGGCTGTGATTGTGGTTCATCGTTTCTCCCTCGTTTTCTTCATGCAGGCTGGCTGCCAAGACTTGCAGCTCATGGGTATACTTCGCAGCAAAGCGGTACGTCTTCACCAATCCGCTTTACACACCGACCCCAAAGTATGTGAAGGCCAAGAAGATCGCCGGTCAACCTCACGTCACCGCCCTCCTGCCGGCTTTTGTCGCCTCGCCCCACCTCTTTGGGTTAGTGTCAAATCTTGTCTCTGCAGTGTCCGAGTTACTTCTCTGAAGGCAATATAAGGCATTACTCTCGTTTTCCTTTAATGTAGAAGGCTATCAAACAGAATAGAGTAAGTTTTGATCCATGAGGTGCACTTTATTTGTTAACCGGGGAAACATTTTTGGTCAGTCAAAAATGCGGATGCCTGGATATTTTCATGTATATTTGCAAATAACTTACTGTTAGCTGATTGCTTAGAGGCTGGAAGTGTGCTAAAATATTCCATTCCTATTTGGGACTGGGGCTGTCTCTGAAAACTTTTGTAAGGGCTAATTGTGGAAATGGGTTTGCTATCACCGCAGGGAAGGGCTAGGGACGGCCTGTTGCATAATGGTGTCCATTGGGAAAATTAAAAAATTTGGATTTGGTAACTTTTCTATTTTTTGAAGAATGTGGAGCGACCTTTACCTTCGACACGAATGGCGCATCCCTAGCCTGTCTCAACGCATGATCGAGGCGATGAACAACTTAAAGACCCAGACCTTGGCCCTCAGTGCCCACTCCGACCGTCTGCGGCAGTGCGTCCGCGAGTTATCCAAACTGTTGGGTAAATCGGACGATGAGATCCGTAACTTACTGAATCTCACTGAGAAAGCTGAGGTGAGGATCGGTACAGTAGGAGACATTAGCCGAAATACAGTGCTTCCTATGTCTGTTTAAATAACACTTAATTCACCAAATGAGTGAAGTAGCGAGTGAATGAATGATGGAATAAGCACGGCGATGAATATCCTGTTCTTAGCGAATATACGTATGAGAAACGCACTTCGGTTGAAAGTAAAATATTTGTTTTTAGGAAAAGTTTTAAAATAAACTATTTTATTAGCACATGGGTCAAGCGTAGTAGACTTTGTTCACTGCACTCTTGATTACGAAAGTGCTCTGTATTGCCTTCCTGTATCGCTGATGTGATTCTTGTGTTTTCTTGTAACAGTTCAGAAATGTTTCCGGATAATACGTCACATTGTGTATATCCCTATATTTTAACTGGATCTTGATGTGATACCCTGTAAGGATGCAGATCAACCTGATCTGCTCTGCTCAAAATTATGCTGCTTAAAAGGTCGAATATATCGAGGAGCGCGAGCATTGTTGAATGCGTTTATCGTTATAAACTCAATCAATCCATTCGCGAAATGATTTGGTGAAACCACTGCCTATCATAAATTGATAACAAACGCGCGTCATTTGTGTGTGAGACTGATAACGAACGTGTTAATAGCTTCAGATCGCACTGCAACACCTCATTTTACTACTTGTTTTGCTTATGCCTGATTGATTACTTGTATAATTGCCTAGCCACTTCATAATTTTCTCGAGATAGGCAGTTGTGTCGTGGTTATTTTGGGTCCTCACTCAAGTTTAATGAACTTTTATGTTTTTCTTTTAAAATGATGTCTGGTACTTTCTGTTTAGAGGTAGATTAGTATCTTCAATTGTCTTAGTTCACGATGTTTCCTGGTTATTAGTCGGAGGGGCTGAGGGCCAGGAATCCCAGGCGGTGTGGTCAAACTATTCACAATCGCTTTGGAATTTGCGTGTGGCACTACCAACAATTCAAATAAACATTGCCTTGATGTGTGAGGTGCGGGTAGCAGAGTATTGCAATTATCGTGTCACTTCTTGGTCTCCCTTTTCTTTTAGAATAACCTCTGTCTTTCGAACGCTAAGGGATCTGAGAAGAGGCATAATGATGTCAACAATGAATCGAACCAGAACTCCCTTGATAATCTAAGTATGTCGTCTTATCTCTCAACGAATTATTGGTTTAATAATTGTTAGCAGTGATTATTACCGACTGGTATCTGAGAACGATAGTGAGAAATGAATAAACAATTTGTTGTTCTTATCCAAGCTAAAACACCTCAGATTTTCACCTATTTGCGAATGCGTTCCTTTCCACCTTCATACCCCCATCAGTTCTTTTTCGTTATAAACCGAGCTCTAAAGCTTGGTGAGGTATAATATGACATGAGGATTGTTTTTTCGCGTCTCTTTGGTTACTTAGAGAGAAATCGATTGACACGAGAGGCAATCACCCGAGATTTGGGGCGGGTGAACACTCGACTTGTGAACAGTCTCATTCCCCCCACTGCTGCCTGCTGTCCCGTTTGCTCCGTTCTCCTCATTTCCCGAACACCCTGTGTAAGTAGTCTTTAGCTGATGCCTCCGTCTCATCCTAAAATCAAATTTTGCAATATCGAATTCATGCGCCAGTAATCGGCTCCATTTATGCGTTTTGCCTTTGTGTAGTATTTCTACTGATTTTGTGTTAGCAAAAGTTCATTGAACCCAACTTTACACGTTTAAGCCCACGTTCATTGCCTAATCGCATCTCTTCCTTTCAACTTTAGATTTTCCACTGTGATGTGTTTCTATCCAATCGTAAACAGTGCGTTTATTTATAAGTCGCTAGCCTTTAATCCTGCATTTATGGCTGTTTTAGGTTATATGTACCGTCTGCGGGAATCTGGTGTGTTCCATTTGTCACATCTTTTTGAATATCATCCCAGGTGTTGAGACAAAATTGCCACTTTGCAGGACCTGTCACCGTAAAACTGTTCTCAAGGAAGACGCTGTAATCTAACTTTAACTACACTTTATTTTTAATTGAATGAGCCGTACGCATCCCCTATCAATTTATTATGTGTTTTTGATTAGAAAGTTATTTTGAAGGCCAAATAAAGGAATGTCACTGTCTCATTCTTCCCACCTCTTGTACTTAATCTGGTTGAGTAACATGAAGATATATGCAATGAAACGGTATTTTTCTTTTGATTATTTTGGGCGTTGAGACTAAGTTTAGGTGGGGTATGTTTGTAATCCACCGAAAACAGTTTGATGAATGTCCGATAGTTCGGAATCGTTCATTTGGCGAGCGCCTTCATGTGTGGTACCCAATTATGCTTCTGATTAAGACATTTCTGTTGTTAATTCGTAGGAGCCTCATTTTTCCAGGAATATGTTGTGATCTAGGTAGCGTAATTTGACCTTATTTTCGAGTGTCATGATGGCTCCAGGGGTGTAAGTTAGTCCCATGTTTTAACGAGTTCTGTCCGCATCAGTTGACCATCCCGTCCGTACCGCTTTTCTGTCGGACTTCGAGGCATTCTTTGGAGTCTCTGCTGAAAAAAAAACGCCTCGGGAACTAAAATTTATAAGTTATGACTGCTTCAAAACGCCGGAGCGCAATGCAATTAACAGCGGACAGTAGTTTAACGAAGCACGAGATATACTACCCCTTGTTGTTAGAAATACTTTGGATTTTGTAATTATTTTAAGTAAAATCTAAATTTCGGCCTTACGCGTTCACAGTGAGCTTGTTACTCTCCAAAGTTTTTGTCGCGTTTGCTCCTCCAAAAATAGGTGAATTATTTTACTCATCTAATTGGCTAAATTTTGGTCTACTGTCATGACGTTTTCGGCTATAAAGCTGTTTTTTGATGCTATACTGCAATGTAAAATTGGTGATATTAGCGAAATATGCCTCTTTGGAGGTCCGTAGCTCATATGACTAGACGGAGTAATACAACAGGTTCCCAACTTATAACCAAGAGCTGATCAATGGGCACTCAGGATGTCTATTGTGAGGATTTTCGGCTTTGACTTATACTAGCTTGATTAGGCCATATAAGTCTCTGCAACTGTAAAGTAATATGAGGTTTCCAATTTCTTTCCAAAATTCTTATTTTAATTGCCCATCTAGTAAACGTATCAGACCTATCGCGGTGAAACTTATTGTGCCACTACCGTATTCCACCATTTTAATCCGTAGAATAAACGTGGAAGGAGTTCTCGTGCATTGCAAAATTTGTACAATAAGTGCGGTAACTGCTCTTAGCTACTCTAGTGTTTTCTCACTCACCATAATAAGTAAAAACTCTATTTTGTTCCCTTTGCTGACACCGTCTTCTTTTGAGCATGCCATGATGCTTGATGCAGTAGTGTTGCCGCAGCACTGGCCATAGACCTCGATTTCTAAGCTTGGCTTAATGAAGTTTTCGGAGCCGTGAGGATACGGAAATCTCATTTGTAAATGCAGGCGCATAATGAACACACGACCGATCACCTACAAATCGCTCAGACTGATTTCGACCACTCAGTCATTTCCCAGACGGCGGCGTTCGTCACTTCCATGGTGCGCTGCCTATTCAATGAATCAGTTGATAAATGAAGGTTGAATGGGGCGTTTAAAGGGAATTTGTAGGGTTTGTAAGTTTTATTTGGGGGAAAACGCTTTAAATTGTACGATTATTGGATGCTCGTTCGTCCGTACAGCTAATTACGTGAGCCCCTCGGCTAGAATATGCTTATGGCCTCCTTGCGCTGTATGGTATTAGTACATCAAGAGCATATTATTAATACGGCTTATAACTGAATAATGGTGGATTTGAGGCGCTAAACTTGTAATAGCCGTTAGCGAATCCGGTTTAAAAGGGTAACTACCCCTATTTCGTTGGCTGCCTAGCGACAGCTTATGGGGATCACGTCTACTTTTACCGATTCCGCCAATCTCATGCTAGAAGAAGGCTACCGACAATCAAGGCGATATCAGACTTGAAAACCTCCATTATGGAGCTGGCTGGGGTACTTATATGAAGACGTTAATTATGGGAACAAATAAGACCCCCTGCACTTCTCCGCTAGATTGATGCAACCCAGATGGACTCTGAGAGGTACTAAAGAGAAAAATTCGACTAAGGAACCCACGAAGAGTATTGGTTCCATGAAGCTACTTTAAATTATCTTTTGCTAGTTGTCTGCTTTTAGCCAAATTCTCCTATAAATGGTGTTAGAGTATTACCTACCCCCAGGAGTACGGAGGCTGTAAGTCCCCTTCCACTTTTAAAATCCAGACGCAACGCCATCAACGAGATGCGTTGAGGACGTTTAGATTAAATATTTTCTCGTCTTCACGAGAATTTGAAACCCACCACTCGACTCGCGAGTGCTGTTTGAAAGACCTGCCCCGGTTGTGATGGCCGAGGCAAGTGATCCAGGTGAGCAATTTAATGACCTCATACAAGCTTAGCTGTGTATTAAATGACGCCCACTCCCTAGTCACCAAGGTTCATATTTCTGTTTTGTCGGCTCGGCCAAAAAGGCTTCTAGACTTTCTGCAACGTTAACAACAAATCGCATTCCATACTAATACGACTTATTACAATTTCGAATACACAAAATTTGTCTTGCCGGAAACGCGGAGTATCACAGCTAGTATTTTTCAACTTTGAAAACAAGGCGAACAGAATCCCATGCTTGTTCAGAGCCGAAAAAATCTTTTGCGATACCAAAATCCCCTAAAGTATCCGAATCTAGGTTTTGGAGGAGAAACCGTCAATCAAATAAATTTGTTGATTAAAAATGATTCCAGGGCGAAGATAACTTTTAAACACACCACACATTTATGGGTCTATAAGCATAAAACTACGCTTTTATCTCCTGTTTTGGTTTTCACACTGCTTCATCCGGAGTGCAGTTATCTTGGAAACCTCCTCTTTGGCCATTTTTAAACTTAAACATCTGAGCGAATGCTTGAACATTTTTTTACTATTTTATGTGGTCTTACCAGGCCTCCAAGACTAAAAGCTTACGTCTCCAGTGTTGTTGATTCTACAAGGCATTGTGCTGTGGACGTCTTGGTGACTGACAAATCTGAAGTCAATTGAAACTATAATCCTTTCTCTACATTCTTTCCTCCCCAGCCAATTATTATAAATCGTAACTTAACAAAGCTTCAAAAAAGTAGCACTGTTCTTGTAATTTCCGGCGAACAACTCGTGAAGGCCAGCAAAACGCGAATCCTCTCTCCTTTGCACCACCTTCATAAGTAAATTGATCAATTCGATAGAGAAGGAAAAAAAGACGGAGGATTTACACCGTGGTTACTCTAAACATGAAGGAGGCAAAAAACTACTCATTTTCCTTCTCAGTCCAGGGCTCGTCAGGGACAGGAGCGAAAATCAGCTAGAGGAATTTGTACATAGTGCAGGAGAGAGGGATTTATAAAAAAGGCGTCTTACAAAAAGGGACGTGGACTACTCAAACTCCATGTCCGCAGTGAAGTCAGCAGCGTGTCTTTTTGCCCGAGGCTTGTCCTCTGTCACTTTTCCTCCTTCATCAACATCTTCCAATACTGACCGCCTCTTTTCAATCAATGCAGCTGTTGCTGTTGCCAACACCGCTGTATCGTCAGTCTGCCCTGCCGGTGGCGAGCCAGATGGCAAATCCGTCAGGCTCGACATCATTTGCACCTCAGTTTCGCCCTTTCTTCGTCGTCGCCTCTTGGCGGCTTTGATATCAAGAGGACTGCTCACCGGCGGGTGGCTTGAATTTACACTTCCATCCACATTCTCCCTGCATTTCTCCAACCCTATCTCCTCATTTTCCGGACACCGAGGAGTCCCCGCCGCTGAAGACGTTTCCTTGCCAGCGACAAAGAACATTTCCTTTCCACTCATCGCCACAAAGAGCAGACGTTGTGGATGGCACGCCACTTGTAGAAAGCGCCGCTTATAGTCAATCTCCCGCAGCCCCATGAGCATCGATCTTGCTGCTACTGACGCCGATGATGACCTTCCGTTAACTTTGGAGGGATCGCGGCGAATTCCATCCACAAGGTCCTCACCTCCAACGGTTTCAAACTCATCACTGTCCTCATCCACATCCTCCCCATCATCATCTTCCTCGTCGTCTTCTTCTTCCTCGTCGTCATAGGGACGCGGAACTGGAAGAAGAGTCTGTTTGCGACGTTTTGAACCAGCGACAACAGGAGAAGCAAGAACGTTGTGTTCGCTCTTATTGGATGTGGTGGTGACGGATGAGGAGGAAGAGGGAGAAGTGACAGTGACCAAAGCGTCCAGAGCTGACGCGTTGGCCAGGCACACGGCCTGGAGTTGAAAGCGCGAGGCCACCTCGGAGTCCGGTGAAATGAAGCGTTTTGGTTGGAGGCGGGATCGATGAGAGCGAAGGTTGAGAGTAGGAGGGACAGAGAGAGGGAAAGCAGTGGTATTGGTGGCGACTGTTAAACGCACGTTCGACTCCCCCAGATCGTAGGCCCAGTCGGTGCCCTGGTGGCGATCGAAGATGCGCAGCACGTTGCCGTAGGAACCGGTAAATACGTAGCTGAAAGTAATCAGTTAAATGGTTGACAAATGACCCCATTTCTCAACAAATTCATAGAACTTCATATCCAAGATCCCAGGATCTTGGCTACCGGGGTTTTACAGAACGTCTCCAGCAGGGCTTTAACAATAACTACACCCTCAAAACACAAAAAATCCTAAAATCTGCACTGTGGAACGCATAAACTGTAATCCATCTTAAGATGACCAGAGGTATAGTAAAAAAACAAGTGAAAATGTCATAGCAGATGTGAAATTAGCATAGTTCATTAAAAATCTCATTAGTTAAGACATCAAAAGCCGAAATTCAACTCCACCTTGACATAACAGATAATACAGTAAATTTACGAGGCTGAGATCAAAAAACAAAAAAATAATGAAGGCAGATACACTGGCTACAAAATGTCGTACAAAACAACAACGGATTTGTTTGATTTGGAGGCAGGGGTACTTAATCACAGCTTATTTCATTTCAAGTAGTAAAGGAGGAGGAAGAAAACTAGGAACAATCCATTGAACCCTAGAAGCCCAAGAACCGCTTCATCACACAAATGCTGGAAATACCTGCTCGAGACAAAAAAATGTGACAAGAAATAATTCATATTCACCCACCATGATTCATACCAAGATTTCATTAGTAGGTGCAATGTTTATCCAGACTTTTTTATACAGTTGTCTCTGTTTCAGTAACTATTTATTCACGGATCTGGATGCCTTTTGGCACAGATTACGAAGAGTGAATGAGTGTAGGTGGATTTAAACGTCATTACAAAACAGTCCAATTTCTACCATTTCCATAAATTCTCCGCTATGCGCTCATAGATGAGTTCCTAAGTTTTTTTACACAGAAGGCTTAGAATATTGAGGGTGCTTTAAGAAATCACCATGAAATTCTACTTACGTAAAAGGAAAAAATTCCAACTTGTATAAGGTGAAGGCCACCCAAAGGTCCAGGTGCTCAAACATCCAAAATCACACAACTAATGGTCATGCCGTGTCATGAACACGTGCTATCATAGAATAAAATACCCACTCACCGATCATCCTCAGACCACGAGCAGAGGAATTTGTCAAAGATGGCATCAGACTCATAGAGCATGCACAGTTGCGAGCGCAGAGGTTCGTGAACTGAGTAGACCTCGCAGGGTCGTTCGCCTTTTCGCATGTCCCAAACTTCAGATAGATAAAATGTAGGTCAGTGAGGACAAATAGTGGTAAGAATTGAGTTAAACTGGACGAGGGAGAGAAGAAGTTTACCCTTGAGATTGAGGTAATCTCTTGCAAGAATGTAATTTCCAGAGTGGTCAAATCGGAAATCGGAAAGACTGGAGATGATATCGCAAAAGAAACCGCGGTTCTGTGACAGTGAGGGGTCATCCAACACTGGAAAAAAATAAACAGCGATTATGGAAAATTAATCGTTAATGCTATTGTGAAGGCTTATTTGATCATTTGTTCAAAGATTTACTTTATTAGCGTTTTGAAGAGGCTAAATACGGCACTCAGAGAAGACAGCGTACTTCCAACTCAAAGCTAAGCCTAATGGCCGGTTACCGGTGAAATAATTAGGGGTTCTAAGCCACTAATTTCGATTCAAAGAATCCATTCAAACAGGGCCACTTTAGTGTGAATGGAGAGGTTCCTTTCAGTACTAATCTATCACGTACTTTGGAGTAATTCACACTACTGATTTCGCATACCTTTCCATATTGAAGGAGTCACGTGAATAGAAGCAAATTAGGCTGTTACCACTTTTGACTAACGCAGCGGACGAAAGATGTCACATTCGGAACTGTTGTTAAAGAAATAGAAAATGTAATCATTTTCCAATCAGGAGAATCCTACATCCACTTTGTTGTTCTAAACTCAGCCAATCTTATCGCGACACGATTTTATGCAACCTGGACTACCGTAAATTGATAGAGAACACATTTCACATGTTTGTGACGTCGGACGCTGATAAATAGATCGAGGCATCACACTTATGCGACGTTGATAATGAAAATGTTAACTGAGATACCCGATATAAACGAATTTAAAATGCCATAATTCACCTTAGTTATTAAAAAAGCAGCTTCAAGTTTGCCATATGAAACACACTGACACGAAACAATGTTGCACTATAGAAAATCAAAAGGACAATCACTAATGAAGCTTCCCGAAAATGCATAATCCATTATAATAGAAATTTAGGCTGCGCTACTCCATATACGAGGAATTCTGCTCAAATTAAGCTATAGAAAAGAGACTTGAAGTCCATTACCACCTATCGAGCGTTGAAACACTACTTGAGGGCTGTGAAAAACATTTCAATTCAGCCCAAAGAAATACAGAAAAAAGGGAACATTCACCCTGAATCAAACATACTTGAGTCTGCGCAGTTAAGGCGTCCATGTATGTTTTGAACAAGACGATCAAGCTATCAGCGCTTCAAACTTCTATCTTTTCTAAAGCCACTCGACAACTCCTGCGGCTTATAACATGTTTGCAGATAAATGAGACGTTGTAAAGCATTATTTATCCAAGTGATCAGATGATTTCAAAAAGCGGTACGCAGCAGAGTTCAGGCAAGTAAACATAGGAAAGGTTTCAAAAGGCGCACATTCAAAAGTACGTAAAGTGCAACCCAACCACGGCTCTAAATTGTAAGCAAATATTCATCCTTTATCATCTGGGGTGGTATTCACTCAATACCTGAAAAACAATCCATAGTGAACGAAAAGCGGAAGAACTTTGTTTCTTTTCTTATTCCTCCGCAAAACATTACAGCAGCGGCGAAGGAAGTGCTTCGGCCAATTTAGGGAACCACTGATTGCCAAGACACCCCCAATTTTTCAATCGTAAATTACATAAAAATAAACAAACCAGTAAACGGTTACCTGCAAGAAAATGGGGTCAATTTCTTGCTGCAGAACAAAACAAAGAGCACGTGCACACAACAGAAAACAACCGTGGAAGAATACCCAGTGAGAAAATCTAAAGGTAGTCCAGTACAGCTGAAAACGCCAGCATGCTTCAAATACATAAGGTCGTATCAACAAACTTTGATTCGACAACTATCAGGAATTCACAAGAAGCAGTAAATCCATTGAAAAGAAGAGGTATTTTAAAATGCTTTCTAATGCTTCTACTGCCATTACGATTCGGGTCTGCAAGTATCAATCGCACTAAATTGGCATGAGATACAGGTGAAATCGAATAGCCGTGTCTTTATCAATGTTATCAACGGCAGCTTGCTATTGAAAACGCCCAGACTTGCGCTTTCATTGGGCGTTTATCCGCAATAGCTACGAGGCTGGCCTACTTGTTCAAAGTCCAGCTACTTCAACAAGAACCACTCAGGGAGAACAAACAAATGAAGCGACTTTGGACTTTTAGGGGAAAACAATCTGTAGTCAAAAGTGTCCCTTTGTGGTAAACCAATAGATTCATCCCCAACTCCCTGGTCCACGTTAGTTTAGTGCATTCGTTGCCAAAGTATCAGAAAATTGGGCACCAAAACCCATAAGACGTTGCGGTAAAGTGTACCTATTCGCAAGCCGAGGACATTCTACAACTGCTTTATTGTTTCCATCTTAACCGAGCTGTCTGTAATACACGATTTGGTGCGAATAATTGTCCATTATTTACCAAAAAAACATCAGAAATACATAGTTGGAGTCAGTAGCAGGCGTACTAATCCAGTTTACCTACCTATTTTGACAAAAAAGACAGCTGTAGAAAACCGGAAGACAAAACTAGCCAAGAATCACAGACATCGAGAACGAATGCGCAGACATTAAGAGCTAGATTAGGATACTTGCAAACACAGTTGCAACAGCTACCAATATAAGATGCCTACACGCTTGGCACACTACCCGAAAATCTTCATGCATGTGTGTCGCTACATGTGAGGGTATCCAGTGAAGCCTGAATCTTAACGTCTCTGAACAGCGGTAAAAAGGGGAGAAAATGAATGAGGACAACGAAACAAACAGCTGATGACAACGTGAACTAAGTTCACTGCTATTTAGAAAATTAAAATGGCGGATGCGTACCGAGAACGTGATTATCACACAGAGCTCTTGCACGCATGTCACACAGACGAACCACGCCACGACTGGTGGAGTAGCCGAACATGTAGCAGAGTTCGGAATGGAAACGGGAGCAAGTGATCACTTCGTTTAACTCCTCCATGTTTTCCGGCTTTATATCCACGATTGCTGCAAAAAAACGCACAATCTGAAGCGGTAAAACGTCATCACCGAGGTTAGAGAAATCGAAACAAGTGGGTCCTACTGAATGACTGGTCAGGGACGTCTAGATGCCACAAATTAATGCGAAGATCGTCAGCAGATATAAATGTCTCCTGATCAGAGTTAGGTGAAATAGCATTGATGTGGTAGGTGTGGGCGTTCGCATAGATCCTTCGTGGACGGACTTCAATGGTAAGATTTTTACGTTTCCTGTAGCGAGGAATTCGTAGGGAAGTGCAAGAGGCAGCCTTTTTGAGACAGGAGTTATTAATGGCACAACTGTCCGGTTTTACTGAGGCGTTGGCTTCACACCCTTCTGACAGCATTTCAATTTCACCACTGCATTCGCCTTCCTTTTCATCGGCGCGGAAATTGAAGTTATAGGCAAAGGGAGACTGTTCAGACATGCGCCACAACTTTATGACTTTGTCTGAAGGAAAATAAATAGTGAGAAAACAAATCGTTCGGGTACAAATGATGCCGGATACCGTAAAATGCACGTACCGTTTGTCGAAAGTAAATGCAATGAATTGTTGACAGTTGGTAGCCAGCATATAGCATTAATTTTCTCCTCGATTTCCAAGGACTTTAAGTAATCGAACTCGGCTTCATGACTAGTAAATGCGCAAAACATATTGTACACTGGGTTCTGGATGAGGCATTATTTTTAAGAAAATCTTGCCTGCCCATTGCCATTAAAAACATATATGTGGCCAGACTTATCACCAGCTGCCAAATAATCACCAGATTCATCAAATTCAGCACATGTAAAAATGTCAGCTAGGAAAAGATAAGTAAATTGAAATCCAATACCTCCTTTAGCGTCACCGAAATCGCCGTCCTTAACATCAACTACGTACAGCTTAAGTGGTTCTAAAAGGAAGAAATAGATAAATAATTTGGTAGGGACAACCTGATGAACCAATAACCATCGTCTGGGATCGTTTTTGAAAGTATTTAACAAGTCCACGTAAACGCAGCAAACGCAAAGCCGCCAAAGCGAAAGAAGGGGCGGGGACCCAAGCACGGCGCCACTGCTTAAATGGATCAAAACCATAATGCTTGCAACAAAACTGGAACAAAATACTGGGCATAAAAAATTATTAAACAAAAAGGCATGCTTGTAGTTTGTACAACTTATGACAGTCTTTTGTTACATTAAAATTTTGAATTTTAGACCTAGGAAATGCTTTGCGTGTACAGTTGTAGCAAAAACTTTAGCTTATTTTCTTCAGCAGTTGTTTTTCTTTCTAGTATCATGTATTGAAATCGTTGATCCCTTTAGATTAAGTAAGTGGGGCTTAAGTGGTTCAAATTAATTGGCAAAGTTCGTTCTCTACATATTTTTGAAAAATTATTTTGCACTTACATGATCATCTGTGAGGTTTGACACCGTTTTTGACAAACATTTTATTGGTTGCTAAGTTAAGCCATTTAGTTGCCGAATTTTATGAAAGGCTGCTAATCTTGGTTAGTTTTCATAGGCCTGATAGTTGTAAAACCCTTGTATCCCTAAGTTGATTTTCCGTATTATCTTTTAAATTCCAACCTCCTTACTTCTTTCTTATTTTTTGCTGTCTACCGCCATCCTATTCAGCTGGGCTTGTTGCAGCACCCTCTTGCTCACTGGTACATTGGGATTCGACTTTGTGTTTCACTAGATACTAATTTGTCCCTTAATGTAAAATTAGCTTGGTTCTGGATTTGTTCGTGTATACCAAGCATACTTCTGGGAGGGGTTTACCATTTTGCCGCATTGTTCCTAATGGATTGTTTACCAGTTGTGCATTTCTCAGGTCTTTAAACTTTCTCAAGTAGCCGGGCTTGCTTTCTGCAGACTTCCCTTTTTACGCGTAATGGGCTCGCGTTTCTTGTTCCGTAGTGCCATTTAATGTCGTTAGTAAATGGGTATCTATGATTTCTGTTTTTTCTTTTTCACTATTTGAGACCCTTTCATGTTTTCACATTCCGTTTAACTCTTCACTTTTTCGACGTAGTATTTGGTGCACTATACAGAATTAGAAATCGTCTTGCCTGCAACATATGTCCTTCCTCTTGGCATAATTAAGATGTAAAATGTCTGGTGTTTGGACTAAAGCCACTGGTAACGCAATTTATTGCTCTCTGTGGATGATATTGCGCCCAATGCCTTTATCATGTCTTATTGCGTCACGGCACATGCAATTCTTACACAGTCATTCCAATATCTACTTGTTGTTCACATCCTCTAAGTATGTCGTGATAATAAATTAAACCGGTCTCTCAAAAGCACCTAACTGCGATGCAATTTTGTTAAATGCACTTGTCGTTGCTCTATCATAACAACGTTAGCCGTCCTTCTCTGGTTTTACTGGCCCTTTGTAGCATGATTTCTTGGCACTAGACCATTAGAGGCGCTGATTTCTTCACTGCTATTTACATTTAGGCGTGAATGTTGCTGCCGGGTATTTTGTTATGGATATTTGGCTGGATTATCTTCGTGCTTGGTCTCCTAATAAGGCGACAATTCATTCGCAAACATTGGGCCAAGTACCACAAGATGTCTGGCTCCCCCCTCCTCCTCTCCATTTTCCACCCTTACTGCACCTCAGGCGGTGGCGGTGAACGAGTTCTCTGGACGGGTGTCAACGCCCTACTCCGGCACCGGCCCCACCTCCTAATCTTCATCTACACCAACGATTCCGACTGTCTCACCGCTCCCTCCTTCGTCTTCCAACACGTCCGCAATACCTTCGATATCGTCGTGAAAGACGAGGCCCGTATCCACTTCGTTCCTCTCCGAAGTGAGCCTCTTCTCCGGCCCGTACTCTACCCCTTCCTTACTCTTGCTGGCCAGGCCATTGGCTCTCTCGTTGCGGGCTTTGAAGCCCTCATCCGTCTTCCATCCGACATCTACCTGGACACTACGGGTTTCGCCTTCACCCTTCCTCTCTTTGCCTGGCTTCTCGGTGCGAGGTGCGGTGCTTACGTCCATTTCCCCACTGTCTCCTCCGATATGCAACGTCGTGTTGCGGCACGTACCTCTGACAGTGCGACAAGCTACAATAATGCGGCACGAATCCGCAGGAGTAGAGTACTAACCATTCTCAAACAATTCTATTATGTGCTCTTTCGTTTTGCCTATGGTTGGGCTGGGAGTGCGGTGAATTGTCGCCTCGTGGCGGTGAACTCGACATGGACGCGGCGACACGTCGCAGAGCTGTTTGGCACGCAACCTTACCTCCTCTACCCACCATGTCCACGTAGAGTGGAGGAGAGGGTGGGTGGAGAGAAACGCAAACCCTGGATCATATCGATTGGGCAGTTTAGGCCGGAGAAAAATCATATGGTACGTTTATTTGTTTGAGTAAGCCGTACTGGGTATCACCTTTTTTTTGCAAATGCCAAGACGGATTTAAGCTAGCCAAATGTTGAGTCGTGCTCTTAGTAGACGACAATTAAAGGAAGTTCTCTAATTAGAACGAGTAAAATAGTAAGTGGTGGCGATGGTGGTTCACGATAGTAAAAAAATCTGTTAAAGTGATGTTCTAGGGCTTTACTTAAATAAATATTGCGCTTCATGCTTAAAATTTGTGTAATCTAGGTTAATGCCTTTGCATAGAACATTAGAAATCCACCCGTATTCTTTCAAGAATCATTTTACGTTTCTAATCTCGTAAGGAATGTATCAAGGCAACTTCTTGTAGGTCAAATATTTCGTTGAAAGTTCGAATTGGGTGCCTTCCTGCACCGTTGTATCGTATCAAAAGTTAATGTGATGTGTCCTAACATCTTACGCTTTCGTATTCAGCTCCATACTACTTCGAATCTGAGTTAATTGAACGCATGTTAATTCAGCCAATACCTTGTTCGTGGTACGTTAAATCTGTTTACATGCTTCGAATGCCAGGGGAAATTATTTCTAGTATCCT